ACATTCAAAAATGTTGAAGCGATATCATGTGCATTTCAAGTAAACATATTTTCAACACAGAATTCTGAACTAAGTTGAAGTTGAACTGAGACCTAGGGTGTCCTAAAGACATTTCAGATGTTTAAGGTTTCAATATTTTCTGTTCCATGTTCCTATAGGATATGGCTAAATGATGTGAGAAACAAAAATGATGGGAAAAGCCAAGAAAAGGGGATATGTGAAATGTAGGTAATAGGGGGGCCAGCACAAGAGAGGTAAACTAAGTGTTCCCCCATGAGGTGGAGGATATCCAGGAAGTCAGCCTCACCCCAGATATGCAGGCATCCAGTCCAGGTTCCAGCAGGGTTGAGGGCTCTAGGACAGGTGTCTTCATAAAGTCCAAGATGATGGAATCCTGGACATGCTTGAATGTACTCAAGGAGACTATTTTAGTCTATTTGGCTGCTCTCACAAAACACCATATATTGAGTAAATTAGGAAGAACAGAAATTTATTTTCTCACTATGATTAAAGTTGGGAAGTTCAAGGTCAAGGCTCTGGCGTCTGGCTAGGGACCTCCTGCTGTTTCTTCCAGTGGTAGACCATTAAGGGCAAAGAGAGGACAAGAAAAAGCAGCAGGGGCCAAGATATAGTATTGATCTATTTAGGAGAACCAAGACCCTCATGACTCACCCATCTCCTAACACCACCACATTGAAGATCAAGTTTGTAACACATGAACTTTGGGGCATACATTCAAACCATAGCAGAGACCCTAGGGGAGAGTTTGGGAAAGTTCCAGTCATGAGTACAAGAGACATTAAACAAATGAAGGAAGAACACTTTTTTAGCTGCAGGGAAGTTTAAATTTTGTTCAAGGAAACAATGTAATCATATCCACAAGCCTAACTGTAACATTTGCATAGTCAGAATAAGGTAAGCAACACTGGTGTCAACAAAATTATAAAATGATAGGATAGGGGCATGTGAATGGAAGCTGTCCACTAAAAGTGCAACTTGAAACTGAAAAACTAAGAAGGACCCTTTTTTTTTTACTAATTTTATTATTTTTTTAAAATACATGACAACAGTGGAATGCATTACAATCCTTATTACACACATAGAGCACAATTTTTTGTATCTCTGCATATAAAGTGTATTCATATTGATTTATGCCATTATACCTGTACTTTTTTTTGCATTACAATTCTTAATACACATGTATACCACAATTTTTGTATCTCTGTTTGTATATATAAGGTATGTTGACACCCAATTCAAGTCTTCATATATGTACTTTGTATAGTGACGATCACATTCCACCATCCTTGCTAATCCCCTTTCCCCTCCCTTTCCCTCCCACTCCTCTTCCCTATCTAGAATAAATCTAATCCTCCCATGCTCTCCCTCCCTATCCCACTATGAGTAACCCCCCCTTATATCAGAAAAAACATTTGGCATTTGTTTTTTGGGGATTGTCTGACTTCACTTAGCATTATCTTCTCCACCGCCATCCATTTACTTGCAAATGCCATGATTTTTTTTAATGCTGAGTAATATTCCATTGTGTATAAATGCCACATTTTTTATCCATTCATCCACTAAAGGACATCTAGGTTGACTCCACAGTTTAGCTATTGTGAATTGTGCTGCTATAAAAATTGATGTGGCTGTATCCCTGTAGTATGCTGTTTTTAAATCCTTTGGGTATAGTCCAAGAAGGGAAATAGCTGGGTCAAATGGTGGTTCCATTCCCAGATTTCCAGGGAATCTCCATACTGCTTTCCAAATTGGCTGCATCAATTTGCAGTCCCAGCAGCAATGTATGAGTGTACCTTTTTCCCCACATCCTCGCCAACACTTGTTGTTGTTTGTCTTCATAATAGCTGCCATTATGACTGGAGTGAGATGATATCTTAGAGTAGTTTTGATTTGCTTTTCTCTGATTGCTAGAGTTGATGATCATTTTTTTAAAATATTTATTTTTTAGTTGTAGTTTGATACAATACCTTTATTTTTATTTATTTATTTATTTTAACATGGTGCTGAGGTTCAAACCCAGGGTCTCGCACGTGTGAGGCGAGCGCTCTAATGCTGAGCCACAACCCCCGCCCAATGAGTATTTTTTCATATATTTGTTGATTTGTGGGAGACCAACCTTACTTGTGACTGAGTCACACTCCCTGGCTGGGTGCTGAGGTGCTCAGTCACAGAAATGTGGCAGAGCTTTACCCACCCTTATTGGGTTCGAGGGTCAGTGTCTCCTGCCTGGGTGTGTCTTGCTACAGCCCCATGGGTGAAGCTATACTCACCTGTTCCTTTGTAATATAACCCCTTGCCCTGTTTAGGGTAGAATCTTCCATGGAAGTGCCTTGTGTGTGTTCCCTTCTCTTACTGTGCCCTGGGGTGTGGTCTACTCAGGTGTCAGTCAACCTGCTGACAGTGGACATCATGAAGATAGACTCAGCCCCCTGAAATCTGACCCCTTGCCTCATTTAAATAGCTTCTCCTCAATAAAAGGGGTCAGTGTATGTGACCCTTCCTGTGGACCTTTACGATCAGAGGAGCCGTCACAGCGACCCCAAAGAAAAAGGTATTTGTGTCTCTTGTGTGGTTATTTTGTGCAGCCCAGTTAGCCCAATTTAACTAGAGTGACCCCTGAGCTTTTTAGTCTTGAGAACAGAAACCCAGCATTAATTGATTTTGTATCCTCTTCTGAGAGGTGTCTATTCAGGTCCTTGGCCCATTTATTGACTGGGTTATTTGATTTTTTGGTGCTTAGAGAAGGATCCCTATTATAATTTTATTTATTGGTATGGAGGTAACAGTAAAAGCAACAGGTGAAAGAAGTAAAGCAGGCTGCCTCTGAGGATCAAGAAATAGGACTGCATGGAAGATTGAGGTTATTTGTCTTTATACCTAGACTTATGGAAGCATTTGACCTTTCAAATGTTTTCCATGTTTCACTAGGAAAAATTTCAATGTTTAAATAGACAATATGAGAGAAGGGACTCAGACATCATTCTATAATATGTATCAGAGAAATAGGGCACTAAGTGGAGGGAGACATAAGATCAGGTGGTGGATTTCTATGGAGGGCTTTTGTTTTTTATGCCGAGTTCAGTTGTATTGGTTTTAATGGGGGATATTGCAGTATGATTGAAGGCAGGAACCATTGTGACCTTGTGTGGAAGTGATGATGCAGGGGAGGAAGGGACAATCTTGTTTCCAAGTCAGAGGTGGCCTCAGACAGCAAGAGCAACAGACTTCCATCATTGATACAGCTGGTTATCAGAGTCCTGCTTCCCCACATGTTGAAGTTTGAACATTAGAGAAGCAGGCTGAGGCAAGCACATGAAGCAGGGTTTATTTAAAAAGAGGTAACATAGACTTCTCCCACGAGGAAGAAGGGGATCATGGTATCCCAAGAAACAAGGTGTTCTGCCCTTTTTATATGTCCTAGGCTTCCTTTTTGCTCCTGCCTTCCTCCCTTATCTTTCTCCTTCCCGCATAGGTGACTAGGCCCATGAATGCTGGTAGGAGGGCCAAAAGGTGGGAAATGGGTGGGCTGAAGGGGGAAGGGCAGGATGGAGTAGACAAGGACATAGTAACAACCTTATAGCTCCCTGTAGGGAGGGGAAATTCATGGGACAGTTTGCCTTGGCAACAGGTTGGAGCAGGGGCAGGTTCTTGATAAGATTCCTCAGGGGACAGTCTCCAACTTCCCAGACTCACTCAAAATTGGTCTCCTTGACCCGACCTGACTCGGTTTACCTAAGACAGCCTGTCTAATTCTGGCTTCATCATCACTGGTGGGAAGATGGAAGGGACAGTTTTCAGGCATGGATATGTGATGGGATTATGATGCAGTTCTTTCTTCAATTCTATTTTTTTTTTTTTTTTAGTGAAAAGTGAAAGGATTTTATCCTCTAGTTGTAAGAAGTGGGGAAGTAATGGAAGGAGACAAATAGAGGAGGATGGTATGAACACAAGGTTAAGAGAGTAATTCTATTAAATGGGCCCTCTGTGCTGGCCCTCCACATGCTTTCTTTCTTTCTTTTGTTCTTTTTTACATTTGAATCAGATGGGATATAATTTCTCATTTTTCTGAGTGTACAGGTTGCAGAATCACATTGATCATGCAGTCACATATATGCACACAGTAATAATAATGTCAGTTTCATTCTACTATCCTTCCTATCCCCCCTCCCCTCCCCTCCCCTCCCATCACTTCTCTCTACCTAATCTAGGGTAATGCTATTCTCTTTTTTCTCACATCTTCATACATGTATTTTGTATAACAGTGAGGGTCTCCTTCCACCATCCATGCAATTCCCTTTCTCCCTCCCTTTCCTTCCCACCCCTCTTCCCTATGTAGAGGTAATCTTCTTCCCATGCTTCCACATGCTTTCTTTGCCAAAAAGCAATCTGCCTGTGTAACCCTGCCTGGCCTAAGGGAATGGAAAATGCCACATTCCTCAACAAACTGAGGCAGGGGGTGAAGATCAGGCAGCCAGTGTAGGTATGAGGGGGTGGGTTGAGAGAGGATGAGGATTGGTTATCACTGGTCATCAAAGAGAGGACAATGCATTGTTAATCTCTGTGGTCGTGCTCCTGGGCACTCTGGGTTGTGAACAATTAACCTCCATGTCCCTACTCTTAGGCACATGCATGGAGAAGAAAGAGAAAGTAATCATTAAAAAGGGTTCTGGGGATTATAACTCTGAGGTTGTAGCTCAGTGGTAGAACACTTGCCTCCCACATGTTAAGTCACTGGGTTTGATCCTCACCACCACATAAAAATAAATAAACAAAATGAAGATATTGTCTCCATGTATAAATAAAATTTATTTTTAACAAAGGGTTCTGGGATCTATTAAAGGACAAGGCACACCCTCTCCTGTGGACATCAACCTCTGGGGCCCCTCCTCTTCAGAGAAGTCTGTCTCTACCACTTTCTTAAATAAAACTTGTTTTCTATGCTTGATTCAGCATTTCTCATATGTTTAATCTTCAACACTAGGGAACAAGGACCAGGTCCTGATCTCCAAGACCAGTATCAGCTTGGGAACTCATCCGAGATCATCACTGAGGTAAGCTCCTCCATAACTTATGTCTTTCTGAGGTACATCTTTCTGTATCTTTCTTTTTTATTTTTCTGGAGGACAATTTTGGGTACCTATCAGCCTTTAAATGCAATCAGTACAACCTGCCAATCTTAAAACTCAGGTGAAAGATTTCATGGTTTTGTATGGTTCCTATTCACTTCCTGGTGGGTCAGGCATGTTGGGCTCTGCAAAGGCCAGTTCCTACCCTCCTATCCTGGCTTGGAGCATTTCTGGTGCTAGTAGATAGTGGCTCCTTAACCATGGTTTACCTTTGGATGAGAAGAATTGAGCAAAGGACTGAAGCAGCTGAGAGATTCTGGCCAGGAGGCCACTTCTTGGTGAATCTCAAAAGCTTCTCCCCTGATCCCATCTCCTGACAGCCTTCTGGGTATCTTGTGGTGACCAATCGATTAGGCAGTGCTAAGTAAATGTCCCAATGACATATATGCCTCTGTATGAGTCTACTACACTTTCCTCTCTATCAGTTCATTCTCCACTCCCACACCCCCACATTGAGAGAAGGACATTTTACATGAAATGGTTCCTAAGGGAAAGCCTGGGTCTTTCCATTGACCTCTTCCTCGTTCTTCTGGTAAAAGGCATTAAACATTCTACAATCACTAGACATCCTCCTCGCCCTCTGGAGATTTCTTTGGCCCACAGCAAGTGTAAGCTCTTTATTGCAGCCTTTACCCCTAATGACTCTGGCCTTGCACAGACTTCTTGGATCTTGCTTAATAGAGGGAGATTTAGGGTATCACACTTAGAAGTGTTACAGTGGCTAGGAGGAGACCAATAAATGCCACCAAGTCTAGATCCTCCAGGGTCTTTGACATGTAGCAAACAGAGACACTTGCATTCTAGCTGTTGATGCAGCAATAGATTCAGGAGAAAATGGGAAATGACACATGAGTTTTCTGACCATCAGAAGCTCATTAGGGAGACGTCCCTAACAAAGTGGACAGTTTCTCTGGCATAGGTGCCTGAGTTCTGTTTTCTCATGTTCAGATAGGAGCTTTGATCTCAACAGTTATGCCAAGTTCACCACTAGCCTGCATACTGAAAAATTGGGTCAAGTTTAACCCACAAATGCCCCCAAAAAAGCACCTTATTTTCTTCTGCTGCCAAGCATGGCATCAATACTAACCCTCTGATGGAGAATCATGGCCATCAGAGAGAAATATAAATTTAATACCATTCTACAGTTTAGCCTGTTTTGTAAAAAGGAAGGAAAATAGTTTGAGATTCTTATATGGAAGCCTAAGGGAAAAACCCAAATTGTGCCAAAAATGTAAATCAGATTTAGCTATGATTTTCCATTCTGAGTGAGGTCCAATTCCTGCGCTGCCCCCAAAAGTTTATTAACTAATGATAGTCTCAACACAGACAGACCAGGATTTGTTACAAGAAAGGAATCTAAGGGTTTCATTGTCTCCCAGAGAAACAAGTCACAAGTAAGGATAGATAATCCAGAGGGCTGCATATTTTCATGGCCACCCATGAAGGAGGAGAAGAGTTATGACTACACTGAGTAAGGCAGAAGTTAAATCCAGAGGATATCCACATGTGGAAGAATGAAACTAGTTCTCGATCTTTCACCCTGCACAAAAATCAGATGAAAGTGGATTAAAGACCTAGAAATTAGAACAGAAGCACTGCAACTACTAGAAGAAAACAGATCAACACTCCAACATGCTGGCTGAGGCCTCAGCTTCCTTAATAATACACCTAAAGCTCAAGAAATAAAAAACAAGGATGAACAAGAGCCATAAAATCAAAAAGATTTTGCACAGCAAAAGAAAAAATTAAAAGTATAAAGAGAGAATATATGGGATGGGAGAAAATCTTTGCAAGATACTGTTCTGACAGGGGATTAATATCCAGAATATATAAAGAACTCAAAACACTTGGAAGTAGAAAATAAAATATCCCAGTCAATAAATGAGCAAAAGAATAAACAGATATTTCTCAAGAGAAGAAATACAAATGGCAACAAATATATGTATGTGTATTTGACAATATATATATTACATATGTATGTATACATATATTTTATATGTGTGTGTGTGTATATAATAATAATAATAATTCTAATATATATATATATATATTAGAAAAATACAAATCAAAACTGCACTGAGATTTCATCTCATGCCAGTAAGAATGGCAGTCATCAAGGATATGAATAATAATAAATGCTGGAAAGGATGCAGAGGCCAGGGGAAGATACACTTAAAATGTTGATGGGACTACAAATTACCAACAACCACTTTGGAAGTCAGTTATGGAAATTACTCAAAAGACTAGGAATATGGGGCTGGGGATGTGGCTCAAGTGGTAGCGCGCTCGCCTGGCATGCGTGCGGCCCGGGTTCAATCCTCAGCATCACATACCAACAAAGATGTTGTGTCTGCCGAGAACTAAAAAATAAATATTAAAAATTCTCTGTCTCTCTCTCTCTCTCACTCTCTCTCTCTCATCTCTCACTCTCTCTTTAAAAAAAATAGACTAGGAATAGCACCAACATATGAACCAACTTTCTGACTCCTTGGAATTTATCCAAAAGAACTAAGAACATCATTCTGTATTGAAACATGCATGTCAATGTTTATATCAGCTCAATTCACAATAGCCAAGTTACAGAACCAGCCTAGGTGTGTGTCAACAGATGAATGGACACAAAATGTGCTATGTATACATAATTGACATTTACTCGGGCATAAAGAAGAATGATGTTATTTGTTAATAAATGGATAGAACTGGAGAATATCATGCCAAATGAAATAAACCAGACTCAGAAAATCAAGGAGTGAAAGTTTTCTTTCATATGTACAAGAGGAAAATAAACAGAATAAAAAGGAATGTCATGAAAATAGAAGGGGAGATTAATAGAGTAGAAAAGAGGGATTGAGAGGAAGGAAGGAGGGGCAGACATGGGGAAGTACAAGGAACAAAATCTACCAAAATATGCTCTGTCCATTTGCAGGCATTCCACAATGAATCCTGCTTTCATATATAAGTATAATGAACTAAGTTAAAAACAAAATAACAATAGAATAGAGACCAGCAAGAGAATCAGGAGAAAGGAGGAGCAGAGGGAAAGGGGAGATCGAGAGTAATGAGATTGATCAAGTTATGAACATATATAATTGTGGAATAATGTATACCACTATTATGTATAATTTTAATACACCAATAAAAAAGTAAATTGTTAAGCAATTTCATCATTGTGCAAGCATCCTAAAGTGTATTTTCACAAACAGAGATGGCATAGCCTATGACACACCTAGTCTTAGTCCATGATCAGGAGATGATGTGTCAACGGTGTTACAAGTGTAAGGGATGATTATGGCATCTACTTTTGAAAATAGAATTGTTTGTGCAGGTTTCATGCACAAACAATAAAATTCAGAGGTAAAAATACACAAAGGTAAGTTATTTATGGTGCTCCCCTCTCCCCAAATCATCCCTTGTCCCTCGGGTCATCCACCTAGAAACCATCTCAGATAGTAATGTCTCACCTCTATTGCCTAAAAACAAAAAGTCCATCATTATTGTTTTCTTGGTAAAGGCCACAGACTGGGATATAATATTTGCAAATGACATGTCTTATAAAAGATTTATATCTAGACTATAGAAGGGATCCCCTAAAATCTGATCAGTAAAGAAAAAGCCCCATTCAAAGAGGGGCAAAACAGCTGGGCTGGGTGGTGCTACCCTACAATGCCAGATACTGAGGAGGCTGAGGTAAGAGGATTACATTATCAAAGTCAGCCTAAGTAACTTCTCAAGGCCCTAACTAACTTGGCCAGATCCTGTCTCAAAACTATGGGTTAAAAGTAAATTAAAAAAAAAAAAAAAGGCTGTGTATGTTAAATACCCTGGGTTAAGTCTCTGGTACCAAAAAAAAATTTTTTAAATAAAATGGGCAAAACAAATTAAATTGTTATTTCATGTGCCTGAACAAATATGCAAAAATTCATGCACCAACCATAAATTAGGGGAAAATGTACAAAAGTCTGAAAAGACACTTCTCCAAGGAAGATTTACTGATGACATATAATTTCATAAAAAGATGTATGAAGGGAAATTAGAGAAATGCAAATTCAAACAACAATGTACATCTACACTCATATTTGTGTAAAATTAAGAATAAAACAATGCAACATGCTGATGATGACCTACAGCAACAAGAACACTCGTTCATTGCAGGCAGGAATGCAAAATGTTACAACAAAGATGGGAGATATTTGACCTTTTCTTGTAGAACTAAACAGACTTGCTGTACAACCCAGTTGCTAGGAGCCACAGCTAAAGTATTATGATACATGGCACCTTTGGTTTAGGTGACTGCCAGCTAGCCATTGAGATGATATGATTATGTTAAGATTTACATTCATATGGAAATTGGACTCCTGCTGTTCACCTCGCCTGCTATGGGACTCATGTTACGGGACTCCCGGAGAGTTCCCTTTGGTTGGGGAAGGATAGTAGGAGGGAATTTCCAGGGGAGGTCCGGGGGCCCCCGGTTCCGGTAGACGCACACACGTGTGTGGACCAGCTTGCTAGCGGGGCGCACACGGGGCACTGGCGGCCTTTTTAAAATAAAACTTTGTTTCTGCTCGAGTGGCTTGTGATTCTGTGCCCAGCTGGGTTGCGGCACCCAGTGATCATGCTCCTAGGTCTTTATCCATCCAATTTGAATAACATGCTCAAATAAAAACCTGCAAGCAATGTTTATAGCTGAACACTGTCGCGACCCCCCTTGCCCGCAAGGAAGACTCGACTCAGGAATCTTCTTTCAGCAGTTTATTCAGGCCCTTGATATTCTTCTAATAATTCTTCTACTCTACCTCGGATGCCCCTCCCAGCCTTAATAAAGCACCGCGAACCCCAATGCAAAGCTGCCACGTGTACCCTTCTCACAGGGTGCTAAAAAATGACACGCCAACTTTCTCTGATAAGGAGCTGGGAACACGCCAACT